AAAGTTTGTCGATGTATTTTTGTTTTTGTCTGTAAAATTTACAATTGCCTTACTAATAAACTCATCAATCTTTTCGTCCTGCATATGGTTTCGTTCAGTGAGAATGTGTAGATTCGTTACTTTACTGATTGGCAGCAGATATTTCAAGCTTTTGCTCAGTTGTCTGAAATTTGAAACGTTTTTTGTGCTAATCATAACAATCACATGGTCATTTTTACCGTATTGACGTGAATGTTCAAACAGAGTTAAAACTAAATCTAAAACATTTATGCTCGGCTTGACCACACCTTCTACGATAAAATCTCTTTGTGATAGAATGGAATATACTAAAAAAGATGCATGTCTTGCAAACTTACATTTGTAATGGTAAAAGCATAAGCAACATAGTGGTCTGAGATGTCAGCATTGAGCAGCTCACTTTCAAAAAACGATATGCTACAAATTCGCATAAATTGAGAAATGAGGCGAAATCTGCTGTAACAGAAACACACAAAATACATGATGAGGGAGGAATTCCTGAAAAACATAAGAATTTTGTTTTTCTGGTCAAAAGTCCACTTTGTTTGTTCAAAAAGTTTGGGAAACGGTAGCTTAAGTCTAAATGTATTTTTTATTTTTGAACTTAGTAAGGGCAGTAAGGTAGTAATAAGGAACAATAGACATGCGAACAATATTCCATGCTGGATCTTATTTGGGTCTTCAACCAGTGTTGTATTTTGAACTTAGTTCGGTAGGACCCACAGGTATGGAGAGCCCCATAGCCATGGCGAAGCAAAGGATCACCTAAAAATTGATGCTTGTCTACTATTTGAATAGCATTGGAAACCGTTGTGGGGGTAGGCAGCCTTTATCTACACTGCTGCCAGTTACAGAGTGAGAATATTAGATGGGTGAGACTTACCAGTAGAAAAAAACTAACGTCCTGCCACTGACAGTAAATGGAAGCTATTAAAGCAATAATAACACTTCCTTAGTTTAGTGAATGACAATGTTTCAGTCCATATTTTCGTATAATACACTCGCTGCTCATTTTTGGTGCTTACCAAACAATAAAGAGAGACTTCCGAAACTTCAACAACCTTGCCACTAAATTATCATCTCAGACTCAAGAAAAAGATACGCGAAAACATGCAGCCTACAAATGATTTTATGACCCACCTCTATGATTCTTTGAAGGAAATGTACAATCACAGTTAATTGAATTGAAAAAAATCTTTATTGGAGAAAATGTGAGGAGCCTAGTAACTAGCCACGGTTGAGCCTTCTTGCTGATCTCAGGCAACACTATTAAAACTAGCCACACAAACAGCATCCAAACTTGGTGTTGAACCTGTAAGATATTTGAGCGAGGGTTGTAATTCACAATATCCAACCAGTCTGCTTGATATAGTGATTAACCAGTTGCCTATGTTCTCAAATATCCAATGCGGTATGCGCAGTGGTATGTGCCTGGCGTCGGCTAAATCAGATGCAAGTGCACTTGACCCATAGCTTTGCCGGGGTTCCAGAGAAAAGCAACATGGTCACACGCTTCACAAAAGCAGGTTTTCGAAAGGCTGTTTTACACTCCTGGACCAAAGCTGCCACATTGTTAGGATAACGTACCTGAGAATAATTTAAAATCAAAATTTTTGCGTTGACCCTATCATTTTGCATGCTACTGTACCGTACATAATAAAATAATAAGTATTTCCGATAAGCTGTTAATCCGGCATTATAACCGAAGCGTGACTGGTGGCCATAAGGCCTCAGATAACTGGCTGCCGATTGGCCAACGTTCGAGCAGTTAACGGCCGTTAATAATTTTAATAAGTGCTATCAGATCGCTCCCAGGCACACTTGGTGTTCGTACAATTTTTACAGTATCTGCAATTACCTATTGCTTTAGGGTATGTAAGATCTTGTTCTAGGTAGTAGTCGGTTGACGAATCAAGCTGAAAATTTAATCATTTTACTAGGGACACTGAACATATACAGGGTGTCCGCAAAGTTGGGGTTTTCCTTTACACGACGTGTAGATCTTGAAAACATAAGCAATTTTTCTTAGTACCATATACACTAATGTCTTAATGGAACCGAGATAAAGGGCTCTGCAACATCAAAAATATCTGAATACCGTCCTGTAGCCGCGACATCACCGACTGGTACAAGGTCACTGGCTCAACCCGACGACAGAACTGGGTCGGGGTCAGTGTGTCAGGTCAGTATGCAACCTTCAACCGACGGTTACTGTCACGCGTGTAGAGGTAATCGCGTAGACGAGAATCCCTCAACAAGCACTAGAGACGTGGCTAGAGAAGTGCAAGTATCAAAAACTAAAGTGTGGCAAATGCTGCGTGAAGAGGGGCTGTATCCGTTTCACGTCCAACGTGTACAAGCCCTTCAACCTGACGATTTTCCAGCAAGAGTGCGATTTTGTGAGTGGTTGTAGCATCAACATGACAATAATCCGGACTTTTTGAAGTGCATATTGGTGACAGACGAATCTACGTTCACGCGTAATGGGGTGAATAACTTTCGCAACACTCATGTTTGGTCAGTAGAAAATCCGCACGCTGTCCGTCGGGCACATTTTCAACAAACATTTTCGGTGAATGTTTGGGCTGCCGTGGTGAACGGTATGCTCACTGGACCATTTATTCTCCCAAATCGATTGGACAGGATGCAATAGTTTTCTACTTTTTCGTGTCAGCGCTCTGTTTTGAGGTTATGCCACAAATATCTATTAGCATCAAATTGTACTTGCTTTTGAGTTATACCATGTTTTATCAGCCTGAAGTTTTATACAATTTAAAAGGAAAACATATCTTCACAATAGGAGAGCGCTGACGCTGACACGGGACAGGTACAATCTAGAAATTTTTGTAGGAGAGATAGGAGTTTGACAATCAAGGAGGCCATAAACGCGCCCTACAATTGTAGAAACGACTGACGATACGGGCCTAAGTCATCGATTTAGAAGATACTGTAGAAAACTGGATAGCGACCTAGGTAAAACTCTGCGTTAGTCGCGTGGTTGACTCCTTACATCTGCGTTGATTGGATTTGATTGGCGTGGTATTGTGGCGCCATCGTCCATGTTCTTTCTCTATTTGATCAATAAGAATTAGCGAATCTGACCTGTATACATGTATTTATTTTTCATTGAGTCTATTAAAACAAAACTTTTTGCAAAAATTCGACACTTAAAAATGGTGGACACCTGTTCCCCACGCGCCCAACAACGTCACACGTGTCCACGCGCCTAACGCAGTGTTAAGTGATCTGGCTCTCGGGATCAAGGCACAAAGGAAATGACAAGATGGATGTGCTAGCCCGAAAAGGTGCGTATAATTGCTTAACAGGTCCAGACCTTTCCTGTGGAATGACCAGATACTCATTAGTCCATGAAAAAATGGACAAAGAAAAACGACCAAACAGAGCAGGTGCAGGCAAAAGAGGAAAGAGACATACTAGTAGCCAATTGTCCAGTATACTTACTCTTTAGATTCATATCTAAATGTAATGCCCACAACTGTCATCTAAATGTCATCACTATGCCTCAACAACAGTCAACCATGTTTCGACCAAGTTTTACATTTAACAGGATAACTTTACAGTAACGAAAAATGTAAAAGATATGATTACCGAAACCTGCTTCAAAAAAAAATATAGAAAATAATTTATTGTCTATCACATAACACGAAATACGCATCATGTAATATTCAATATATAGTAAGTATAATTCATTATATCACAAGTGTATATTAATTAGATTAGTGTCGTGTTAATTTTTATTATAAGTGTGAATGGCCTATGACTAGACTAGACACCGAGAATAAAATACAGATGTCTTATATTATATTTTCCGATTTTTGGTAGACATTTTTCACAAAATAATATTATTTACTAAGTCAATCTACTCGACTCTAGTTTTTACCTCAATTCTGCGTCAGAGCGATTTTATGAACAAAATTAAAATTGTTTCATCGCTAACAATATCATGACTATGCAAATTTTTTAATAGGCGTTTGTTAACTTGCTTGTTTTTAATAGATATGCTTATCATCTTACACCACGTGTCAGAATATCTCAATTAAAATTCTGAATCAAAAACATATGTTGAAAAAAATGGATATACATCACACATAAGAGTAACATATTTGATACAAGGCATGAGGCGTTAACCTATAACGATTCATAATAATCAGCCGTATCGTATGGATCATGTTTCATGTTCACGCTCTACCGCATTGTAATCCGTAATGGTATTCAGGATTATGAATTTTTCATGTTATGATCGCACCTTTGTCAGATCGGAGCAATTCGCAGAAAATGTACAGTAAGAGGCAAAAGCTTAATGTAAGATCTGCAACTTGTCATGTGATTCATGCTAATTATTCTCTGTTTTTCTGGCCGGTAAAGTACAGTACAGTAGAGACTGGTATTTCATTAGGCTCTGTACACACAGTTATTAAACTCAATAAACTTCATCCATTTAAAATGAAAATATTGCAAGGGTTAACCGAAAATGATTTCGATAGGTGAGTTGATTTTTGCGAACAAATGACTGCAGCGATTAATGAATGCCATTCATGTAAAGAATATCTGCGTCAGTGATGAATGAACATTTTATCTTAATGGATTTGTTAATAAGCATAAATGCAGGTAATGGAGGAATGAAAATCATCATGCCTTTGTAGAAGGGCATACCCAGTACCTCCAAAAATTTAATGTATGGGCACCAAGTGATTGCGCCATTGTTTATTGATGGAAAATTGAATGGAGGCATTTATTTGGATATGTTAGAAAATACCATCAATTATGTGAATCGTTAATTATTTCTAAAATTTCAGATGGAATCATAACGAATTATCCTTCCTTAGATCAAATGTTCGCCTACAGACAACAGAAAATTCAAAATTCCGTTGCCGGTTAATTTTTTTTTATATACTCCAACTACCACGAAGGCCTAAGGCCTAAACACCCATGGGGTAACTTGGAGCTATAGGGGGATACAGGGGAAAGGGGGAACGCCACACGGACTCTGGCGAGGGAACACGTGTGCATGCAACATGCACAGATTCTGGCCCCGCCTACGAGATCCGCCGGGTGGTACCTCCGCGTTTGACAGTCAGAGACCGTCTACCACCTACGGACAATCACAACATCCATAGCCAAGAGAAAAATTTCTGCTGGGACGGGATTCGAACCGGCACAGCGTACGGCGACTGATCAGGAGAGCGAAGAGTCTACTACTGCGGCCACCGCTGCTGCCTAAATAATTTAAGGAAGTATGATCATGTAACTGTTCCAATCGAAGATTTATGTTGGCTCAAAATTAATAACCTGTCAAATATGTATTTTTGTCATTTGTAAATTCTATTCATTTATAGTCACCGTTCTTGGCGGTTACGTCATCAACGCCGTATGAAATAAGTAAACAGATCGAGTCTTCGTACCATGGGCGGAACACTGCGCAGACTAATTTTTCAGCGCATCTGCTACTCGCTCCAGTACGCATGAAGTGGGTAACAGGGAACTGCTGTGCAATTTTATATTGAAGATTGATAACAGAACATCTCAAATTGCATGCCGATGTCAAGTAAGTTGTCATTCTGACAAATATATTTACAACTCACAGTAACACAGTCATTTTGGTAGCATTTAATCTTTGTTGATATATTTGAAATTTTAGAAGCATTTAATACTTTATACAGTAACATATATTTTTATAGTTTCTATACAGGCTGTTTCAGTTTATTGTTGCATAACTTTAAGATTCGATAGAACTTTTAAAATTAATGCATAAAGTCTATATAAACATGGGTTGAAAAATGCGTGGCTTCCGAAATACAGGGTGTTTAAATTTACTTTCTAAAATAGTTTTTTTTAAATATTTCGAACAATATTTGATGTATAACAGTGAAAATTGGTATACAAGGGTTTTTTGGTACGACAAAACGAACCATGGGCACAGTTTTACTGTAGCCGCTAGAGGGCGCTCTCTACTGTACCTGTAGTGTATTAACAATGACCGAAACATTTTACTTAGTGCAATTTTTTGCTTTTTGAATAAAAAAACTGATTCTTCGCACTTTTCAACATAAAAAAGCTCTCTTGTGAATTTTCGTTATTGTTAGCCGTTTTTGAGATATTTCGATTTTTAAGGTTCGATGCATTTTTAATTATTTATGATAAAATAACGTTAAAAAGTCAGTATCTCGATAATTTTTAGAAGTAGGCTGTGCCTGCAAATATTTTTGAAATTGAAAGCAGAATAAGGTTAAACGTCAATTAGTTGACAGTTAGTATTGTTGTCTGTTGAAACCTGAAACGTTTTTTTGCAATTGTGAATGCACGAAGTTTAGCTTCATTTACCTGTTTTTTTTTTTGTAAGTTTTATAAAAATGCCATTTTTATTCTCCAATCAAGAGTTAGCGGATATTCGTTTTGTGTATGGCTTTGTAAATGGAAACGCACCAGAAACATCCAACCGCTCAGTATTTGTAAGAGTGCATCGCCAAATAATTGAAAATGGTTTTGGAAATCTCCAAAGGGATCAAAACATAAATGTTCGTCAGCGCAGATTTACCCGTATGATTATGCGTGAGTTTGATAGAGATCCGACCACAAGTGTTAGGAGAGTTTCTGGTGCCCTGGGAATTTCAGGTAGCCATGTTCACCGTGTTCTTAGAAATGACCATAGACGTCCTTACCATTGGCAACCTGTGCAAGGACTACAGCCAGGGGACGGAGAACGAAGAATCACATTTTGTCAGTGGATTCTTGATAGAACTGATAATAAGAGGGAGTTTTTAAGTAACGTTTTACGGACCGATGAGTCATGCTTCACTAGACGTGGAGTGGTAAATTTTCATAATCAACATATTTGGTCGCATGAAAATCCGCATGCAGTTCGGGAAAGAAATTTTCAGCATGAATTTAGTGTGAACGTGTGGATTGGTATCTACCGTAATCGACTATTTGGACCCTACCTTTTGCCTGCAAGGTTAAATGCTGCGACCTTCTTGGAATTTTTAAAGGCTGAACATGCAAATATGTGGGATGATGTTATGATAGATTTAAGAAGATTGGCCTGGTTCCAGCTTGATGGTTGTCCAGCTCATTATTCGAGAATAGTTAGAAACTGGCTGGACGAAGAAAGATGGATCGGCCGTGGAGGACCAGTCCCCTGGCCTCCACGATCCCCTGACCTAAATCCATTAGACTTCTTTGTGTGGGGATTTCTAAAAGAAAAAGTGTACTAGACTTCCGTAACCACAAGAGATATGCTAATAGACAGAATCAGGAATGCATGTGATGAAATAACGCCTTATTTGAATAATGCTATACCACGTTCGATCATTCGTAGATGTGAATTGTGTATTGAACAATTAGGTTTACATTTCGAGCAACTATTTTAGATTTTGTATGTTTGTCCTAACTATCCAATAGCATTCTAGTTGTAAATAATTAATTTAATTTGTTAAAAATAATATTGGAAAATTAAACAAATTAATATTCTGTTTTTTGTGTTTATTTGGAGTTAGGAATTATTGCTGTGTTTAAAAACACAATCGAAACGATAATCTTAATTACTTGTAATGCCCAAATCAAAAATGTAAAAAAAATATTATTTTCCCATAAATAATCAAAAATGCATGGAACCTTAAAAATCGAAATATCTCGAAAACGGCTAACTATAACGAAAACTCACAGGAGAGCTTTTTTATGTTGAAAAGTACGAAGAATCAGTTTTTTTATTCATAAAGCAAAAAATTGCACTAAGAAAAAAAATTTTTCTGTCATTTTAATACACTACAGGTACAGTAGAGAGCGCCCTCTAGCGGCTACAGTAAAACTATGCCCATGGTTCGTCTTGTCGTACCAAAAAACCCTTGTATACCAATTTTCACTGTTATACATCAAATAGTGTTCGAAATATTTAAAAAAAACTATTTTAGAAAGTAAATTTAAACACCCTGTATTTCGGAAGCCACGCATTTTTCGACCCATGTTTATATAGACTTTATGCATTAATTTTAAAAGTTCTATCGAACCTTAAAGTCATGCAACAATAAACTGAAACACCCTGTATAGTATTATATATACTTAATTTAGACTTTTTTGCATTATACGTTAAATTTTATGTTGTAATGATGCAATAAAACAGTATTACTAAGCACTCCCATGCTTCCTTCGCAAGAATTTCGAGTGAGAATTCCAAGATTAGACCATAATTTGAAAGATTCGTAGATTCTGCGTACGCGTCTTTGAGTGTGAGTTCCACTCCAGTATACATTCTACTTCACCAATTAGCCAATTATCAATGCGTCCGTAAAATGAATTGCCATTTTATCGCAACCGCGCTACCCAGCAGAGATACCACAGGCATTCAGGCGGCTATACCGCATTTCTGCTTTCAGGTCCCTGCATCTTTCTGAATAATACCGACCAGCATTTCGGGAATGTCCAACTTGCTGCTGCCGAAACTGCGTAAATCAATTAACTTTGCCCGCGAATGGGCTTTTAAAGAGCCGTTAAGTTGTATCGGTACCATCGCAATACAGTATTGCCAAATCTACAGGTATTTCAGTAGATCTGCTTCAAACACCACACAGTGTCCCATCATGACGAAATGCTGCAATGTAGTGGTGTAACACATAACGAATGATTGAGTGTTATTTTACGAGTAAGCCATGTTTTGGACGGCTTTGGAAATTTTGATAACCGTCAAGTTCATAGATAGTCACGAATATAAAACAAGTTATGCTGAGCTAGTTGTCAGCAGATGCAGTCGATAGTGAGCAACTGAACTATGCAATACTTCATGCAGAGCAACCACCTATCAGCTATGTGGAACTGAACGTAACCAATAAAAGCTTTCTGCTCGCTAAAAAAATTGCATCAAGTAGGTTCCTAAGCAACGCCGTTATCATGAACGATTAAGAGCCCCAGTACTAACAGAACAGTCAACCAGATCGGTACGCCGGGTGGTTAGCACAGATAGCAGAAGGATATGCGTATCGAAAACATTTCTTATCATCAAGTTTTTAAGGTAAACGTACGGGTAAATCTATGATGTATGAAATATATCTTAAAGGTGCATAGAATTGGAAGCATATAAATATATTAAACACCCCTTACAGCCCCAAATGTTTAACTCCGACTCATTTTTTTCTGGAAATGATCAGGAGCCTCTGAGACATTACAAAACGTAGTTTGAGAGGTTTTTTTTTTTAGTTTTTTACCTCTTCCTCCGCCGCGAGTGAACCAATTTTCAAGAAAACTTTTTCGTCGTCAAGATAGTAAAAATCTTTGAAAATTTGATCCAAATCCGAGCATTGCTTTCAAAGTTATAGACGGGTCAAGGGTTAGCAGACCAACAGGCAGACTGACAGAAAGACAGATCGACGTAATGAATGACGTTTTTTTGTGATGCATACGTCATGTAACATCCAAGAAATATAATAGCTTATTTTCGAAATACAGTACCTCTTCGCCCAGTGACATAGGAAGTAAAAAGTGATAAGAAAATCTACTTGACTTCATTTTCCAAAATATCGCAGAGCCTACTTAGTGAATACTTCATTTTTTGAAATCAAAAGCCATACAAATTCAAACCGTTTGGCACTTGCGCATACAAGCAAAACATGCGTACAAGAAGACGAAGTATTCCAGCAGTCAACCCGATAAGGTCGGAAAAGCAACGTTCGTCTTTTCAAAAATCAACCAAAAATCTTAATTATATCCATTAAACGTTAAGACAAGTGTGGTGAACCTAAGAAGAAGCTGTGAAGTGAGAGGAGCTCCTACAGGCCAGGCGACAGAAACGCCCAGGTATATGCCAATCCTACATTGCCTTTGTGTGGCTCGGGTGTCGATTACTTGATTACTTTCGATTATATCTGAAGATAAATTCTTGTGTTATTATCTCGACAAACAAAACAGTTATCACGATAGTTCTGCATCATTGTAGGTGATTAAGCAAAAAGAAAAAGGAAAAAAATCATATCTCGGAAACCCTTAGAGCATTACAGTTTCCACCAAAAATCATCAAATAGCGTCCCCAATTACCCATATTTTTTTGTCGGATCATGTAAGAAACACCCTGTATATATACAGTTATGCATCCAAATTACCTATACCCTGTATCTTAAACGCCCAAACGCAATTCCGCTTTTTGATTTTGGGAAGAAGATCCAAGCAGCAGTCGTAGCACCAAGGTCCGTACCTTCACTGCTTCAGTACAGAAAAACCTGACCTTAAACAGTGAA